CGGTGCGAAGCGACGGAAGCGGCAGTTGCAGGGACGTGTGCAGCTCGTGCTTCAGCCCCATCGGAAATCAAGAACTGCACTGTGCATTGGTCGAGATGAAGGTAACGCGAGGTGACAGTGCGGGGAAGGCGATGGGACGCGTCTCATCTCGACTTCGACTCCAACTCTACATGCAAGTGTTTGTAGCCTGCACATCAACGATATCAAGATCCTGGCACTAAGCAACAAATGGAGCATGCAGCCACTTCAACGGACGGAGCGGGTCCAATGGCTTTTGCAGTCCCTCTCTACGGTTTGTCGACCACAGGGATGCCAAGCTCCCGAACTGTTGCTAGACGGGAAGGCTTTATCATGTCAGCTTAACGCGCGACACTCCAGTGGACGCCATGCCCGGCTGAGCCAGCTCCGTTCTCTCGATCGTGCATGCTCGCCTTCATCAGCATGCGTTGAGCTGTTCAGCCCTGGCCCACTCAAACTTGCCGCGGGCCCGCAACTACGGGGCTCACTTCGCTGGCTTTCAAGCTTACATAGGCAGCCTGGCCCCTCCCTCGCTTCGATCTTCATTGGTCTAGTGGTCATGATTTCCGCTTGTCATAGACGAGCACATGTTGTCACAAGCGCGGGAGACCAGGGTTCGATTCCCTGATGGAGAGTGTCACGCACCCAGACAATGGATGAGGTTCACCTCGCCCACCATTTTTGGCAATTTTGGCACCCTCCAAACCAAGGGCGGGACGGGAGCAGGGCGCTGTTTTGCCCCTTCTATCCGAAATGGCAGGCACGCACATACCGCACCGACTTATTGGACCGTTCCACGGCAACTCTCATCCACCCACAACTACATCTACATGTCACTGCCGGGCAGCACAGACGTCCGTGGATCTGTGTGTCCGAAGAGGTGTCTGGACAGTACATCATGCCAGTCGTGCAAGTCTCGTAGACCGTGGCAGCATGGATGGCCTGCAGCCTGCTGGTTGGTACTGGGGCCCTGTCGCTGAAGTGGCAATCGTATCGTGCTCTGTCTCAAGGCATTGACAATGGAATCTGGGTTTTGCAAGACGACCGAACTGCCGTGATAGACCGAGCGTCTGGAGGACCAGACGTCAGGTCTCACGTCGCGGCAAGGTCGACGTCGTTTGCCGCTGCTGGCATTGCATGCGCCAGCCAGCAGTGAGTGGTGACTGGCCATGAGGGTGATCCTGAAGCGGAGTCATCCGTCCAGAAGTTGCTCTCGCCCCGGGCGACGCGGCAGACATCTATTCTGTATCGCCTCTGGCACAAGGCGCTATCTGGGGTATATCGGGGACGACTTCCATCATCTTCACAGCTTCGCCTTGCCGCCGACCACGCTCTCCCACTCCCTCGCCCCAAAATCCTCGTATCCGTCCGCACCAGGCGGCAGCCAGAACAACAGGTCATTGCCGACCTTCTCCGGATCCACCCCCGCCTCCCTCAGCTTGACCTTCTGATGCTTCATCGTCCCCGTCACCTCCAGCTCATCCCTCATCACCCGCAGGAAGATCGGCACAGCATACCTCGGCAACCGCCGCCGCGCATGCGCCGCCAACTCCACCCGCAACGCAGGCCCCAGCGTCTTGCCCTCCCCCACAGTAACCGCCGCACAGCCCGCCCGACCATCATGGCTGGGCAGCTGCACACCGTACACATTCGCCTCGGCGATCGCCGGGTGCGCGCCCAGCGCCTGCGAGACCTCAGCCGTCGAGACGTTCTCGCTCTTCCACCGGAACGTGTCGCCCACACGGTCGAGGAACCACCAGCGCCCGTCGCCGTCCAGCCGCTGGAGATCGCCGGTGCGGTAGTACGCATCCCCCCGCTTAAACACATTCCGCAGGATCTTCCCCGTACTGGCGTTGTCGTTACCAAAGTAGCCGAAGAACTTCTCGTCGATCGCTTGGGGGTCCAGCAGGTTGAGTAGCTCGCCGGGCTCGTTCGTCCGGCTCTTGACGCAGAGGTTGGTCGTGGGGTCGCGGTACGGCATGTCGGTGTTGTGGTCGTGGCGGACGAGGACCGAGTTGCCGCCGAACAGCAGCCGGATGAGCCAGCCCGTGCGGCCGATGGCGCCGACGGCGAAGCCGCTGCGCTCGTAGACGAAGCTGGACGCCGGTCCTTCCGTTGCGCCGTAGAACTCGACGATGTCCGGGATGTTGAAGCGGTCCTTGAAGGGTTGCCAGACGTCTACCAGGAGTCAGTGTGCGCACCGGCTGAGCAAGGCGAAGAAGGTCACGATCCAGTCCATCACGGTGGGGATCGACGAGGAGATCATCTACAATCACGAGGGCGACGAGCCGAAGCGGAGCGTGAAGACGTTGGCGAAGCATCAGCAATCCGTAGGCGTGCGGATGCCGGAGGCGGGCTACTTCACGAATCTGGGGCTCGTCTTTCCGGCGAGGGAGCTGAGGGACAGTGAGGGAGTGCTGCCGCGAGGGCGGAAAGAGTACCCGATGTACTCCGTCTCGGGCTTCACGACCACAGGCACGCTCTACAAGATCGAGTACTACCTCACCGTCAAAGTATGTCGCCCACGCAATTCCTCACAACCTGCCAGCTAACTCACATCCCAGGCGAAAATGGCCGCAGCGCGCGACATCCTCCTCCGCCAGCCCATCGTCGTCTGCCCCTTCGACCACGCCGGCTGCAAAGAAGAAATGGAGGCCATCGAGCAGGCCGCGAAGGACGCCGCGCACATCAGCCCGGACAACCCGATGTTGCCAGCCGCGACCATCATCAAGGCCAACGACCCGGCGGGGCTCCGCGCGCTGGGCGTGGCGATGGTGCAGGGGCAGCGGAAACCGTTGATTGAGTGAGCTGTCGTCCTGGGACGAGCAGGACAGTATCTGAAGAAGTCTCATGAGCCGGCGGAGACAAAGTACCCGGCCACGCGGTTGCATGGCTCGGTGTACCTCGTCTCCGTGCAGCGTTGGGCATTGCTGCGAGCGCACGTGCGCTCGGCGTCCTCGATCACCGTGGCGTCAGGGTCCAACTACCAAAGCGGCCAGACAGCCGCGTAGTCATCGCCACCATCACCACAGCAAAAGCCTACGACTGGACGATAAGAGAACAGCGACGACGAGCAAGTCGCAACGGCGTTCAGGGAGCATGGGGAAAGGTCCTCATACGCAGCTTGGGAAAAGCTTGGTCGGAAGCTTGGGATACCCCTTTCTGCATGCTCGTGCTTGTGCTTGTTGCTTGTGATTTGGCGGGAGTGGGTTTCTGCTTGGCGCCCGGGCGCTCTACACCACGCACTGTGGATGGGGGGGGTGGGTGGGTGGGGATAGCATTTGCATTCGCATTCGCATTTGCAGGGGGCAGGAACCAAGAGGCGTTCCATCGCTGTATGTATGGCTTCGCTTGATAAGTCGGCGGAGGAATAAGGGCCTAAGGGCTAATGTCTACGAGCCTACCAGGCAGTGCCGCAGATATTGCGTCGACGTCGACGAGGACGTGTGACTTGAGACCTTGCCATCGCCTCGGCTGTCGTCGCTCAAGGACCAAAGAAAGGTTGCCATTTGCAGGGATGCACGGCTCGCCTCATGAGACGGTAGCGATTACCCTGCTCCAGCACATGCGCAGCGCCGTACGGCATATCTCATCGCTCCAAGACGCTCCGGTACATCAATCCCAAGTCAGAGAGGACCCCGTGGCTGGGTCACCCTGCTCCTCCGGCCGAGATGAAGGCCAGACTGGAAGTGCTGGCTTGGTCGGCCACTCGAGCACGCAATTTCTACACCAAACTTGTGCGTGCTGCATCATGGATGTGACGCCTGTATTGGCCCGGCGCCGCAACCCTGGGGGCACGTGGCTGCTTGCGATCACCGCCCGGGCAGCCTGGATCGTGTTCATCGACCCTTTCATCAGGACGCAGATGAGTGACTTCGCCCAGGAGAGATGCTGGCAGGCCCGTCCGCGGCATACCCAAGATGGTCCCGAGGGGAGACTGTCCTGGTGAATGGCTAGCTGCGCTTCTTCCCGCGGTCATGTGGCCGGGCTGGTGGCGAGAGTAGTGAATGGCGTTCGACCGCGCAACACTCCTGATGAAGGCCACAAGAGGGTCCGCTCTCAAACAGCTGCTGCTCAGATGTCCTTCACCACCAATTCTCGGGCAGGCAGGCGATCAAGATGGCAGAACGTCCAGCTGTCGCCGGGACACCAACCCTCGAGCTGGAACCAGGACTCCTACATGACTACACCGACCTCTGGCGCGAGGTGCAAGAGGCGGCCCTCATCGACTCCGCCAGCGACCCCAGCAGCTCCGGCTCGACGGCCTTCTCCGTCCGGTCCTCCCACTCCGCCGCCCGCCCCAGCCGGTACTACTCGGCTTTCTGCGTACCGCTCCCACTCATCGACCGCAACCAAATCGCCAAGCCCGGCCCCGTGCTCCAGACCACGGAGACGAGCCCGCTCGCCCAGCGGCGGGCGCAGCGTCGAGCGGGGATCGATGTGGGCACTGCGCATGCCGAGCACGCTCGGCAGTGGGAGCAGTATGTCTTCGAGCGCGAGGGCAGCTCTGAGGAGCAGGCGGATGAGCTCCGGGCGCGCATCAAGGCGTGGATGAGGAGGCGGTACCGCGAGGATGTGCAGTTCCGAGAGGTCGACTACGGGGCGAGTGATCAGCCTCGATCGCGGATGACGCGCGAGGAGGATGGGGAGCCCATGAGCCCGAGAACTCAGCCTGCCACGTCAGATGTTGAGGCCAAGGGACGGTCTGGGATGGGGAAGGGGAAGGCAACGGCGGGGATCGGTGGAAGGGTGGCGGATGGCGAGGACACGGCGTCGACATCGCCGTCACTCTCACAGCCGGTGGCGACGTGATCGTCGCGATTGTAGCCGGTCCAGGCGGTGCCCACCTGAGCGGTGTGCTGGAGCAGCACAGGCCAGGCGGGCGACGGCGAAGGTGCTGCCCGTGATACTCGCCAGTCAGTCCCTGGTACCCAGACATGGGCCTCCCCTACCGGACGCGTCCTCGTGGGCGTGGCACGTCAGAGCACGCGATCTATCAATGTTGTGGCGGGGAGTGTTCGGTGGGATGTTGGTGTAAAGCCGACGCCCGAGGAAGATACACACGCACACTCACACGCGCACCACCGCCCCTTCCCAAGCCAACCACGCGGTCCTTCCCGGGGTCGATGGTGGCACCAACAGTGCTCATCACTCACCACTACACTCTTTGTTCTCGACCGCGGGGGCTGCCTTGCATTACTACTGCTGCAGCCAGCCGGACCTCGATCCGCGCGAACCCCTGCGCCGTGCGCCCGATGCGCGACGGGGCCCGGGAGAGAAGACTGTGAAGTGACAGGTTGTCCGTGACCGGGCAGGAGGACTAGTGCTGCCACGCACGACCGCGCACGCCGTGCGACGCCCTGCGATGCTGATCGGGGACTGTTCCTGTCGCCAAGGCTGCCTGTGAAGTCGAGCCTCATGGACAGACCTTAGGAAGGCGATGGTGACGCTCGGCGAGGCTCGTTGCGTCGCGTTGCCGTGGGACTCGTGGGGATGATCCAATGCATGTAGCACTCTCATAGGCTGTTGCTATGAAGTCGAGACAAGCTCCAGACACCAAACGAACACCGGACGACATCCCGTCCACCGCCTTTCGAGTTGTCGAAGTGTAGGAGTCTGGGAGCTTCTTCCTCCT